GTACCATTAAACCTACCAACACTTAGATGGCAATTGTTCAGTTCAGAAAACTTGGAGTAAGAGATGCTTCCACCGACTCATGCTGCATTGTTGCCTCATATCACAGGAACAAAGTGCACCGCGATACGCGACAAGTCGTACCTAACCAGATCCTTGAACCTTCCCGCCATTCAACAAAAGCGGCTGCTAGTTGGAAAAGGGCATTTATGTTTCTGTGCCGAATTTTGATCTGCCTGCCCCTCGTGCTGCAACTGAACTCACAAAATGTAGATGTAAAACAGGCTGCACGGAGCGATGCAGTTGCCGCAAAAATGGACTACCTTATACATGTCTCTGCACGTGTTTTGATAGGGGGAGTACCAATTTGATCATGGGTGTAAGAGGACGAGGGTGATGACTAACTGATGTAGTGAACCGCATTGTATTTATTTCCTAGATAGGGTCTTTGTTTTTGATATCAAACTTGTTTACTTGTTACAAATGTCAAAGTGTCTTGAATCTCATGACAGAACATTCCAGTCACTCAAAAGTGATCACATGAATCATTTTACCATGCTTCAAAAGCCAAAAAAAGTGGTAGGCTGAGACACCGGAAATTGGTATTCCCCACCGGAATTCAATAAGGACTACTTCCATTCGCTTAAAGTGCATCATAGATGGTGTCGATTTCATGAAAAAAAAACCACCAGAATGAACTTCAGATCATGAAAATCCAAAGATTATTGGCTGAAGTCAATCAGTGTTTGACACGGAATTTCCACGAGAAGTCAATGGAAACTACTTCCAATCGCTTTAAGAGTATCGTAGATGGGGTCAGCATGATGAAAAAACACGAGGATAAACTTCAGATCATGAAAATCGAACCATTATTGGCGGGGATAGCCATGTCCTCGTTCAAAGGGGTCCCGGGGTCGGACAATTTTTGGATAGCTTGGTCCAACATCAACCCAAAACAACAAAAATCTATTTACGAATTTGGTTGATGACCTAAATAAAAATTGCGGATTATATACCAATTATCGTCTATTACGCCACTATAATAACTCTTTTTCATACATGACATAACTCTATTGACTAAATACATGATGTACTTCAATTTGAGGGTTTTCTCTTGTAAAACCCCTGTTTACGAGATATATCTGTACCTACCTGCATCTATTAACTATTTTCAATATTGCTAGGTCACCAATCGAAAACGCCGAAATTGTAAAGGTCAGTTACCCCCCTTTGACCTACTCGCCACTAACACCACTTCCGGTTCTATTATTTTGAGCAGTATTTCCATAAAACTTAAACAAGGCTTCGTGGGAGGAGGCGGAACTGATCCAGGCAGGTACAGATATCTCATAAGCAGGGGTTTTACAAGAGAAACCCCCAGTTTATATCACAATCTGTACCTAGGGAGGGGGGGGGGACCTACCAACAAATAGATATTCTCCAAAAAATATATTATACTCAAATTTTAACCACATGTAAATCTGTGACTAAACTTTCTTCTGTTTAGATGACACTAAAAAATAGCTGCAAGCGAAAGATGCTTCTGTGAAGTAAGCACATCTTTCAGATAGAAAGTAGTAAGGGTATTTTCTGATGCGGAATGAGCTGCTTTCAGTGTTTCATCTAATGGAGCTCTATCAAACAGTGCCTAAGATGTTGACATCTTTCTAGTATCATGTGCTCTGTTCACTGGTAAATCCCAGCCGTTTGCTTCATTTAAATACTTTAGCATGCCAACAATCCATCGCGATAACGAAGATTTGGCAGTTGGCTTGTGATAACCATCTTGATATGTTATGTATAGTTAAGACTCATAAGACCTTAAATCCTTAGTACGATCAACATAAGTGTTTAATAAGGGGTGGGACCCTACCATCTAAAAATTCTGCAGGGGTGTATCTTGGGCGAAATTAATTGAAAAAAAAAACGATTTTGGCATATTTTTTTGTTCTATCTCGATTTTTTCGCTCGGGTAATTGGCATTTTTTTTTTTTTAAAAATGGCGGCCAAAAATTCATTTTTCGAGAGTTTTGTCCTCGAATGGACCAGATATGTGTCCCAATATGTCTTTTAATAGGTTTTCGAGTATGTCGAGTTCATAAAATTATACTCCAAGGTAGATATGTGGTCCAATATGTCTTCGAATATGCAGAGTTTAACAAATTATACTCCAACGTGTTCCGAGCAACGGCGGCCATCTTGGATCCAATATTGTTTTTGACACAAATCAAAGATTTCCCTCATTTTCGAGCATTTTTTCTTATTTAGTTCCTATTTAGGCGAATTTAACTGTGGCCAGGAAATTCTTTTCCGATTTCTTTACATTTTTACTGCTTTTGAACATAGTGCCCATTTCCATTTACGCTGTTTTTCTTGATCGTCACGATATTTTTCTTCAAGTGCGTCTCGATACGTGACATTCCACCATATGTTTTCAATTTATTGTCCAAACGGGCGGAATTCGACTCACAGCCAAGGTTTGTGAGAAAGAGCTATTTGCATTTTCTGGACTTGAGAATCGCTATCATCACTGCTTACGAAGTAGTTCAATTCAGCCAATTGCCTCTTCAGCACTTCACATATTTCCCCCAAGACAGCACCATTCAGTTGACCTTTACCAGTAGATGTTTTCTGGAAGTAAGTATACAACTTTTCGAGTTCTGGTAGCTTTTTTTCGAATAACTTTTTCACAACTGCCCGGTTTCGCATCATTTCTGAGCCGCGTTTGTCGATCCCAAGTAAATCCATAACCGGAAATATGGTATCACCAATTAGAGAATATACTTCTGCACACAACTGAAACCATTCGTCCTCAATAAAAGCTGACACGGCCAATACAAGACGGTTTGAGTTACTGTCTACTACGCTTTCAAAAAAAATACCTATGTCACTTTTGTTTCTTAAGTATAATTTTGCGATGCGCCCGAATCTGTTAGGAACGCAACCTTTGAATATCTTGCTCTCCTCACTGCCATTAACTTCAAGTCGCTCTTTAAATTCAGCATACAATGAGACCGAGTAATATGCATGACTCGACGATAACAGTTTGGTGATTGCGATTTGGCCAACTGTGAAGACACCAGAAGATGAGTTTTTGAGACTTTTATCACAGTCAATTAAATATTCTAGCCAAGATGGCGGCCGTTGCTCGAAACATACTGGAATATATTTTTTTGGACTCGGCATCACCAAAAACATAATAAAAGACATATTGGATCACGTATCTACCGCATGCAGCATAAGAAGAACATTTGGCCAAGATAGAACAAAAAATTTGCCAAAATCGTTTTTTTTTTCCAATCAATTTCGCCTAAGAAACATCCCTGCAGATTGTTTTTGAGTTATTTTGTCCCATCCCTAGTTGAATGTCCTACAGGGACATAACAACAAATCTTTAGGATCAGAAGCCAAGTTATTGAATTTAGGAATGTAGATGAAAGTCCAAGTTTTACCTATTCGTTGTTTTGTCAATGTAATTCACCAACTCTAGATGCCGAAGCAAGAGCAACTAAAAAGCTGTCTTCCATGTTAAAAATGTTAACCGAATGTAAATCCCAGTTAGGAATAAGGTTCCGACATGGGTGTGATGCATTAAATGACTTTCACTAGTTTTGATAAATCTGGATTAGTGTTAACTGTACCATCCCTGCTGTCAACAAAACCTTTATGAAAATACGCAGTAGCCGAACAATAACCCATAATGGTGTTATATTGACATCCTTTCGTCTTATGAAGATAAACAGAGGCAGAACTTGCACTAATTTTCTTAGATTTGCAGTATTCTCTAAAGACTGAAATTCTACTATAATAGAGTCTTCTAGTTGGAGGTCTTGTAGCGCCTTCAATGACATTGGCAGCTAATGAAGAACATTTGGCCGAGATAGAACCAAAAATTTGCCCAAATCGTTTTTTTTTTCAATCAATTTCGCCTAAGAAACATCCCTGCAGATTGTTTTTTTTTAGTTATTTTGACCCATCCCAAGTTTAATGTCCTACAGGGACATAACAACAAATCTTTAGGATCAGAAGCCAAGTTATTGAATTTAGGAATGTAGATGAGAGTCCATGTTTTACCTATCCGTTGTGTTGTCAATTTAATTCACCAACTCTAGATGCCGAAGCAAGAGCAACTAAAAAAGCCGTCTTCCATGTTAAATTTTTTAACCCTGCTGAAGATAAGGGTTCAAATGGAGGATCACACAATTTCCAAAGAACCGAAGGTAAATCCCAGTTAGGAATAAGGTTCCGACATGGAGGTGATGCATTAATAATGACTTTCACTAGTTTTGATAAATCTGGATTAGTGTTAACTGTACCATCCCTGCTGTCAACAAAACCTTTATGAAAATACGCAGTAGCCGAACAATAACCCATAATGGTGTTATATTGACATCCTTTCGTCTTATGAAGATAAACATAGGCAGAACTTGCACTAATTTTCTTAGATTTGCAGTATTCTCTAAAGACTGAAATTCTACTATAATAGAGTCTTTTAGTTGAAGGTCTTGTAGCGCCTTCAATGAAATTGGCAGCTAATGACAAAATACACGACAAACAGTGGTAACGGGTGTCCGGAAGATTAAGCTTATCCTGCTATAAGTATTAACCAATTTATATGCTTCTGTCGTTTTAATCGGTTCCAAAGACCGGATAGTTTCTTCTGAAAGGAATGACCTCCCCACCCTGAGTTGCTTGCATCCGCCCAAATTGGGAATTGATTCCGATAACCTGCAAAAGGAATACCCTGAAAGAACACATCCTTCCTCTTCCACCATTGGAGATGGAAACGAAAAGCGTGCGAAATTGAAACCATCTTCAAATGGCTCTCTGAATATGGTATCCATTGAGCCAAAAGGTAGAACTTCATTGGGCGCATGTGAAGCCTGACCCATGGAATAAGGTCGATACATGCTGCCATGAGTCCCAGTAACCGTAAAAAGACATAAGCTGGCAAATGATTGTTGTCTAGAAAAAGAGAAATCATTTCCTGAAATTTATTGTAGCATTCCTGTGTTTTTATTCGGGCCTTCAGAAGATTTTGCTGAATGGTTTTCATTAGCCAGTCGACCAGATAAAGGAATATATTGATGGTGCTGTCTTGGTAAGTAGCTTCCTACTACTGACATTATCTTTTTAAGACGCGTTGGGCTACGGCTAGGCCGAGCGACATTGTTGCAAACAGGTAATGATTTCCGCCCACACAAAATCGAAGAAATTATCTGTGGGGACGAAAAATACGAATTAGACGATACGCGTCTGTCAAATCTAACGAAGGTACTCATTCGCCTTGATATAGTGCTTAAATTATTGAACGCATCGTCTCCATCTTGAAATGAGGTACGTTGTACATTTAAATACAGGTTGAGAAAACGTAGATTCAAAATTAGCCGTAAACATCCGTCATTTTTTGGAACAATGGAGAAAGTGCTGTAATACCCCTTTCCTACTTGGCTTGGGGGAACAGACTCTATAGCAGATTTTTCTAGAAGACTGCTTACTTCTTCCAAAATAACCAATGTTTTAGTATCCTGTAAAGGAGTATACCTTACCCCTGTTTCTGGAGGAATCTTCAAAAAAAAAAAATACTCATCCGAAGAACGTTTCCGACCACATCCAAAACCCACTGATTCTTTGTGATCGTTTCCCATGCTGGGTAAATTAAAGAAACTTTTCCCCCTACCTGCAGGGTCGAGCAATTTGACTTCAGGCTAAAAGTAATTATCGGCGGTGAAACTCCGCCTTCTTTCCCCTATAGTTAGAAAATCCTAGTCGCTTTGGTCTCTCGGTAACATTAGAAGCATAACTATTACCATAACCCTCAAAAGAATGCCTAAAGTTTTCAGAATACTCAATCTGTTTATATTTGGCATTAGAATGAGCAGATTTGTTAGGATGATCCTGGGGTGCCGCTCTTCTCCTATCAAAGGCACGAGTACTAGATGAAGTCTTAGACACATTACCCGAAAATTTTGATTTTGCAGAATTTGCTAACAAATGCAGAAATTACTTAGCATCGCTGATGTTCTCAGCACTGGAATGTAACAGTTCTGAGAATTTACCACAATATAATTTAGGTTCAAGAAGTCTGTCTTCAGTAGCGGAGTTTCTTAAATGAAATTCATTAAGATAAATCGCCCTTCTGGCAAACATAGAATTTACTCGTATTCTTGAAGTAAGATCAGCCATAGAGTGGAGAAGATCTAAAAGAGCTTGCAAAGCTTGAGTCCTTGCATCCTCATCTGCAAGACCACCTAGATAAGAAACAATCAGCGACCCGTATGGACATTCTCTCAATAAAAGTCTAGCTTCAGTGTCTATCTTAATAAAGTCACTGTTACGAGTACGGGCCTGTTTATTTTGTAATTTGACCCTTTTACCCGGAGAAGCATTGGTAAAAGGAGACTTACTAGAAGACTGAGAAGAAAATCCTTCAGCTATATTTTCAGCAAGATGTGGAGTGTAACAACACTGTCTAAAGTGATAAGTTGACACCGTAGAACGAGAATCATCAGCTGACCTATAAGCTCGAAATTTTCGTTAGAAACTTCATCGTCCACATCGTGTAAAGATTCTAAAATATGTAATTACCACATTCTAGATTTGGACCATTGGTCAGTCAAAAGTCGTCCAGAAATGTAAGACTATGCCCTTCTGTCTTTGAATCACCCATACAATCATTGTCAAGGGCTTCAGCCATTTTGCGAACAAACCCATCGCATTCTGTCATATGAATCCTAGAATCATTGACATCGGAAGTGGGTTCATGTAAATTGTCAAAATTAGATGATCTACCATTACTAATATTGTCTGAGCCCGCAAGATTCAGAGCTTGGTCGTTCAGCTCGTTCTGTACCGAAACATCATCATTTACAGAGCTTGAATCTAAATCCTTACGATTTGAATTAAACTCATCATACCTTCTTTTAGACTGTTCAACATTTCTCAAATGTGAGGGCTGGTTGGTATTACAATTTTGTTGTAGATAAGTTCTTAGAAAAGTCTTCCAACCTTTTATCCATAGCTTCAGTGAATGCTTTCATGACAGTTTGAACATACTAGAACCTAATTTACTGTTAGCTGAACAATTCTGAGAATTGGGAACAGTTGGAATAAGAGAAATAGAATCCCTAATATCAGAAGGACCCTTATTAAGACGCAGGTCAGAAGATAAGAAACCAGAGTCCTGATCATCAACAACTAGGGAGACAGACGTGACAGGGTTTAACCCCTTTAAGGAACCTGAAGGTACTGTGGCAGATTTGTTACTGGCCTTAGATCTAACCCGCGTCCTTCCAATCATCATTAAAACTGTTGACCATTTGTTTTGTGTCCACAGCTCACAAATGGAACAGACATTATCCCGGCCACAATTGCGATGCCGCCAACATTTTAGATGATCATCTATTACATTCATCTCCCTTCCACAATCGGAACAGGATTTAAAGTTATTTGAAGATGACTGAAACATTTTAGAATCGTCACAAACGAGCGTAAGCCTCCGATGAAAAACGCCACGTGAATTTTCCAAAACTTCGGCTTCGGTTAACAGCGCTAAAAGAAGCTGACACAACTTCTAGCGGTCGTAAATACTTACCTAAGATAATAAAAAAAACACAAATAAATAAGAAAAGAAAGTTATTCTTTCGATAAAGTTATTCTCCCGTGTGTAAAAACACAACCAGAAAATAATGGCGTCCGAAAAATAATTGAACCGTAAGTGGTATTAGTGGTGAGTAGGTCAAAGGGAGGTAAGTGGCGTTTACAATTTCGAACGTGTTCGATTGGTGACCTAGGAATATTGCTAATAATTAATAGGTGCAGGTAGGTACAGATAGTGATATATAAACTCAATGATTATGTGTGGGTCGGAGACCAGGCAAAATTCGAAATGGCGGCTAAAATACGAATTTTCCGCCCAAGATTCCCCATTTATTGTCTTATTACACTACTATAATTAATGCTAAATAAACCTTCTCTACATTATATTCATTATCATTTGCTTGAAAACGTTGAGAGAACCCTCAACGAAACGTCGCTTTAATTAAAATAGTAATTGTGTTCCATATTATGTTTTTGTATTACGTATGTCAATTGCTAAATGCCGCTCAAAGAAGATATTCGTCATCAATATGGAGATGAGGCAGTGAAATCAGTGAATTTAATTGGTAAATAAGAAGGTAAATATATCAAAGCAAATAACAATCTGACGTTTCTGTTACGATTAATTAGTTGTTACTTGTTTTTTTTTATATAAACCTTCTGTACATTATTTTCATTATCATTTGCTTGAAAACGTTGAGAGAAACGTTTATTAAAATAGTAATTGTGTTCCATATTATGTTTTTGTATTATTATAGCTTTATTAATAACTAAATATGTAATTTGCTTCAATTTCCTCATCAGTTCATTGATTTGGTGTGGGTCGGATACTAGGCAAAATTCGAAATGACGCTCAGATTCCCCCCCCCCCCTCACGCTTTTTTTCTTTTTTTTAAAGAAGGGAATGATACCAAAAAAGTGTACATTAACGACTTATTGTCCACCGATTGAGAAAAAAAAGATGAAGAAAAGTCCTTTGAACAACAAAAATATGATTAACATTCAAAACCATACGACGATGATGTCATAAATCGTTGTCATAGCAATCCTCTCCTCCATTATGACGTAATTCTTGTTCATCATGCAGGAGGATCGTAAACATAAGAATTCTGACGTAAAGGACTTGAATGGTGAAATATGTCGCAAGCAAGATGTTTTTGTTTCTCTAATTACAATCGGGAAAATTCGTGATGGGAAGACAGCTTCTTTTCTATCGTGTTTCAAAGAGTCGGAAAAATGCTAGCCTAGTCGTTGCTAGAGAACTTAAAACTTTTAATAAAAGATTGAATACAGAAAAATGTTTATCCGAGAAATGAAAAGGCTGTAACCAGAAAATTTAAGGCGGATTATGAACTGTTTTGCCATCTTCGCAAGTAACCAAGACTGAGCAAGTAACGGAATTCAATGAAACTGTGACCAGGAATGTTTTTGACATTCGTGCGACGAGTAAAGTCTATGAGAAACAGCTAGAAGTTGAATACAGTGTGCTCATGAAGGCAGAGAGCGTGTCTTTTTATAATGATAATTGACATGGTGTTTATGTAGCAGTATGTTCAAATATTGTGCCGCGAAACTGGGCATAGAAACGGAACGCGGAACGGGAACAAGCTGCGGAGGGACACCAATCGGCAATGGATCAAAGTTTATGTATCGACGACGAGAACAACACCCAAAGGACGTCAGACTCTGAAAGTACTGATGGGTCATTCTCAAAAAAGTGGCAAATTGAACGAAAAAAATGTCTTCAATTTTTTCACCTAATAATTACTTGATTATCATAAAATTTATTTATTAATGTGTTGAAACAACATTTTATCTAACAGAAAAAAATTATTCAACCATATTTACTCCAAAAATAGACCTTTCGCGATCTAATATACGTGTTAAATGTCCTTACCGCGTTACCATGTCCAACTTTGGATTCCAAAAGTTATGTATATTTTTCCTAAATGTTTGGAAACTGTGAATGTTAATCCCCATGCATATCAATTCATACTATATTGGTCTATTTCCATACAAAGTCCTGGGTTTCTAGCGGTTTTAATGTAGCCGTGAGGAGAGCCTCAATGCGTGTCCTGATTTTCTGTTTCAAAATGTCTTTACCGTTACCGCGCTGTGTGTTTCACAGATATCTCAACTTTATTCAGCAAGGCTATTTTAAACCTGAAGGTCAAGGTCTTTCTCAGCCATAAAAGTTTACCAAGGAGGGAATTTCAAAGGTAAGAATCATAATTTTCACATGTCTGGGAAATAGTTTGTCTTTACCGTTACCTGAAATAATGAGGCAAAGAAGGGGGGAATATTATAAATAATAATATATTAGATAAGATAACTGGTATTCTTCAAAATAAGGAAGAAAAAGATGAGTATATATATGTTTATATAATAAAGCAAAATGTGTCTTTACCGTTACTACTCGATGTCTTTACTGTTACCTTTTTCGGTAACGGTAAAGACAGTTGTTGGAACGGTAAAGACTTGTCCACTTACAAGTTGGACTGT